GGAAATTCATTTTTATTTGTATATATATCTATATCCATCGGGAGTGGATTAGATTGGGTCAGAAAATTTATGTTATTACACACTGTTTTCAAAAGCTTCATTAGGATGTGGGTGTGAGCATTCGATGACGGATATGAATTACAAAATAATACGGAACAATCGAAAAAGTAACCGGGGACTACGAGGGACTATGATTATGTTTATCCTTTTTCATATTCGATACATACCAGGGACCAACAGGGATCACAAAACAGTACAACTGACCACCAGCGACTAACAATATCTAGCAGATAGCGCATAACACAAGAGGTTTTTAAATCAAGTTCTGAGAAAGAATACTCAGACACCACATGCCTTAGTGTGGGTGCCACGAAAGGACTCAGACATCACATCTCGTAGTGTGGGTGCCACGGAAGAACTCAGACATCACATCCCTTAGTGTGGGTGTCGCGAAAGGACTCTGGAGGGAGAGGGTGTAGATGTGGGCCGATGTGTGGATGTATGTGTGGAATGTGTATGTGGATGAAGTTGAGAGTGTTGGTATGATATGGCTTGTAGATCTGGGTGCGATGATGGGTTCCAGTTTGCATGGGGGCGTTGTGCTCGATACATCTAGATTTTGATTAGTAGGTGTTGATAGCGTCTTGGATGACCAAATGTCAGGCAGCAAGTACTTGCAGAAGCTGGCAGACAAGTTATGAGTGTCAGATAAAATTGAATTCCGAACTTGAGTTTACCCTATTGCAACCTCAATAAATGTACATATTATCTATAATTACTTGTAAGCGAAAATGAATTTCCCAATCCAACCCAAAATTAAATATATTTTATATATACATATGGATACATATTTTTTCTTGACTTGACCCAAGCGAAGCGAACCCAACCCGACCCATCCCAATCCCAGATCAAACCATATATTACGTTTATATAAAATTCCGTACCATGATTCGAGGTTTAGCCAATTTTGAATTTCCTGGAAAGCGGAATTTACCATGCCCTCTTTTCGTATCTGTGTTGCGCAAGCGAGACGAGATAATGAAACGAAATTTTGATTTATTGAAAGTCAGATTTTAGTCGATTAAAACCAGAGATGGGCAGTTCCGACTCCGCTCTGGCTTCACTCTCATGAAAAAGTTTCTTTGCAATTTTTCTCGAACTTTGATGACGTTCAGTGCATTTCACGTTTGATTTCAACATATATATACATAGCATATAGAAAAAAAATCTAATTCTCAATATATTTAAGTTAGCTTAATTCAAATATGAAGGTTATTTACAATGGCAAATAGACTAGTGAATCACAGTAATTCTCCATTGCATTTTAGTAAAGTTAGCATTGAGAGCATATTCTTAGAGAGTCGGATACGATGAGGACGCATGAGTATGTTACTCAAAGAAAATACCTGTTCAACTAGAGCGGAGGTAGCCGGTACACAAAGTACTCTTGTAGCAAGTCGGTGCAAGTATGGATAAGAATTCTCTTCAAAAACATCAGAAGAGTATCATCACCGTGTTCCTTTTCGAACATTCAGATTTCACTTTCGATCGATTCAGAGAGGCATGGACGTTTCCTCTTCATCGATGCTCGTTGTCCTTCGTGGCCAGAAAAGAATTGTTTGCGCTTGAAACTTGGTAGGTTGCTCAATGTGTCATCGCCAGTTATGCAGCATTCAATAATGGAAGATTCGATGATGCATTGTGATGTGTTATTTGTTGTACCGTGCAGCTGCAATTGTCGATGACAAGAGAAGATGATTCATTGAAGTCATCTTGCTCAATTGATGACGACGATTGATCATATGATTGTTTTACCGTAGAAAAGTTTGTTAGTTCAACTTTCATTTGAATGAGAAATTTTGTTTTGTTCTATCATCACTCATTTCTCACATATTTCATACTATTTTATTTTCTCTCTTCATCAACGTCATGTTATTACATTTTCAAACTAACAATAGCGCAGTCCAATTGACCGTAGAACAATCGACTAAATGAGTGGTTAGTCATTTTCTCGAACATTATCATTGATTAAAATGTCACAATGACATATTCACTGCAATGAATAGTCGATGACGAGCTTTTCTGACTAATTCTTCCGTCTTTGTTCACAGAAAAATAAAGTGAAAAACGGACCTACGGCTGGAGCTAGAAAGAAAAAAACCGCTCCGACTCCGCTCCAGCTCCGTTCCTCTCCTGGCTAAATTGTGACTGGCCAAGAAACAATGGTAACATAGGAGGTAGAGTTCTCTTCAATCAATACATTCCTGGCAAATCGTATGAATATGGCGTCAAGATATATAAGATAGAAGGTACGAATGAGTGCACATAACATTTTATGACTAATACAGAGAAGTAGGATCCAACGGTTGATCTTGGATATCTCCAAACAGTCATAATAAGTTTATTAGAAAACCTTTTGGGGTGCTATCGAACTGTAGTAGCTGATAACTTCTCTACTAGTATTTCTCTTGCAGAAGGTTTGTTGAAAAATTATATATATCTTAATCGAACATTGAGTAGTAATCGTACCGGATCAGAAAATGAAGTTGTTTAGAAAAAGCTCAAGCGTGGTGAAGTTTATGAACTTCAAAGCAAAGACGGCATAAACTTGATCAAGTAGAAATATAAGAGAATTAAACGAGTGCATGCTGGAGGCACAAGTTGTACTCGATTACAATGAAGGCAAACAGGGTATAGATTTATCAGATCATTTATCAGCAATCCATACATGTCTTAGACGGTCTATAAAACGGTACCAACAAGTGGAATTTGAATTGATATTTCGAACGGTAATAGTTTATAGCTATACGACTTACAAGGGAAACTATGAAGAATCTGCACATATCGTCTGAAGACGCTGTGCTAGCTGCTATGAGAAAACCAGGAAACAACAATAAAAACTTCCCGCTCTGATTGCGACGAGTTTGTTTGTCTTGATTGTTTCACTGAGAAACATTACGCTATATAATATTTGATTCAAACAATAGTGAATGCAAAGTAGATGACGACATATTATGTGTAACCTCCTGCCTAAGACAAAACAAAAGAAAGTGTTTTTCTATTAAGTTTCTTATTAAAATATAGTGGAATTCACCAGTGAGTCCCATCACCTTGAATGTGTTTAAAATATTTAGAAAAGTTATCATACTTATGAACTTTCGCAGATAATTTGTTTGTTCGTTTTAATTCATTCCAGAAAAGAGGATGTGTGCATGAAGTTTGTATAGACATGTCAAAAGACTGATAAAATATAGATGTAACATAGAATACTAGGATCATTTTAAAAACTATAAACATTTTAACTGCATGTTACAGAAGTATTAAAAAGTTTATTCTTTTCTTCGAAGCACACGAGGTAAATTGGATTTAGCTATGAAATAGATTTTTTCTAACACTTGGAATCACTTATTGTATTCTTATTCGCATTTCGGACATTAATGACTGACTTGAAGGTACAGGTTTATTTTCTTTTCTGTTTGTTTTAGGCAAATCTAACGGTACATGTAGCACAACCTGTAAAATTAGCCAAAGCACTTGTTTCAACTTCACGTTTATACGACGGTAATATGTTATATCAAGGGGGAAAAGGCGATACTCCATCTACTCCAAAAAAAATTTTGGAGTAGAGCGGAGTACGACTGGAGTAGAGTAGAGTATCACTGGAGTAGGGTGGAGTATCACTGGAGTACAAGTGGAGTATAGGGATGCAACGGTGACGATCACTCACCACTTAACCGTCACCGTTTCACCGGTCCAAACTGATAACCGTAGGTACGGTTCCCGGTCTAACTATGATAACCGTACGTACGGTTACCGGTTCAAACCCGTTGGCAAGAAAACACCATTTCATGAGAAAAT